CTACCCCCTCTCTACCCCCTCTCTACCCCCTCTCTACTACCCCCTCATCTACCCCCTCACTACCCCCTCTCTACCCCCCTCTCTACCCCCTCTCTACCCCCCTCTCTACCCCCCCTCTACCCCCTCTCTACCCCCCTCTCTACCCCCTCTCTACCCCCCTCTCTACCCCCCTCTCTACCCCCCTCTCTACCCCCTCTCTACCCCCTATCTACCCCCTCCCTACCCCCTCCTCTACCCCCTCTCTACCCCCTGTAGACATTGCTCAAAGATCCCCAGTTGTCCTCAATCGTCACCAATCCTCATGTGAAACGTGCAGCCAAGCAAAAGACGGTGAGCGGGGCCCTTCAGCGTGCCGGAGTGTCCAAGCTGACCACCAACTTCGTCAGTAAGTCACTCAGTCACTCAGTCAGTCACTCAGTCAGTCACCCAGTCAGTCACCCAGTCACTCACCCAGTCAGTCACTCGGTGGGTGAGTCACTCGCAGGTTGAGCGGGGCCCTTCAGCGTGCCGGAGTGTCCAAGCTGACCACCAACTTCGTCAGTAAGTCACTCAGTCAGTCAGTCACCCAGTCAGTCACCCAGTCAGTCACTCAGTCAGTCAGTCAGTCGGTGGGTGAGTCACTCGCAGGGTGAGCGGGGCCCTTCAGCGTGCCGGAGTGTCCAAGCTGACCACCAACTTCGTCAGTAAGTCACTCACCCAGTCAGTCACCCAGTCAGTCACCCAGTCAGTCACTCACTCAGTCACTCACCCAGTCAGTCACTCGGTGGGTGAGTCACTCGCAGGTTGAGCGGGGCCCTTCAGCGTGCCGGAGTGTCCAAGCTGACCACCAACTTCGTCAGTAAGTCACTCAGTCAGTCAGTCACCCAGTCAGTCACCCAGTCAGTCACTCACTCAGTCACTCACCCAGTCAGTCACTCGGTGGGTGAGTCACTCGCAGGGTGAGCGGTGCCCTTCAGCGTGCCGGAGTGTCCAAGCTGACCACCAACTTCATCAGTCAGTCACTCACTCAGTCAGTCACTCAGTCAGTTACTCAGTCAGTCACCCAGTCACTCAGTCAGTCAGTCACTCAGTCAGTCACCCAGTCAGTCACTCAGTCAGTCACTCAGTCACTCACTCACCCAGTCAGTCACTCAGTCAGTTACTCAGTCAGTCACCCAGTCAGTCACTCAGTCAGTCACCCAGTCACTCACCCAGCCAGTCAGTCGGTGGGTGAGTCACTCGCAGGGTGAGCGGGGCCCTTCAGCGTGCCGGAGTGTCCAAGCTGACCACCAACTTCGTCAGTCAGTCACTCACCCAGTCAGTCACTCAGTCAGTCAGTCACTCAGTCAGTCAGTCACTCAGTCACTCACCCAGTCACTCAGTCACTCAGTCACTCACTCAGTCAGTCAGTCACTCAGTAAGTCACTCACTCACCCAGTCAGTCACTCAGTCAGTCAGTCAGTCACTCACTCACCCAGTCACTCACTCACCCAGTCAGTCACTCAGTCACTCAGTCAGTCACCCAGTCACTCAGTCAGTCACTCAGTCAGTCACTCACCCAGTCAGTCAGTCAGTCAGTCGGTGGGTGAGTCACTCGCAGGGTGAGCGGGGCCCTTCAGCGTGCCGGAGTGTCCAAGCTGACCACCAACTTCGTCAGTAAGTCACTCAGTCAGTCAGTCACCCAGTCAGTCACCCAGTCAGTCACTCACTCAGTCACTCACCCAGTCAGTCACTCGGTGGGTGAGTCACTCGCAGGGTGAGCGGTGCCCTTCAGCGTGCCGGAGTGTCCAAGCTGACCACCAACTTCGTCAGTCAGTCACTCACTCAGTCAGTCACTCAGTCAGTTACTCAGTCAGTCACTCAGTCAGTCACCCAGTCACTCAGTCAGTCAGTCACCCAGTCAGTCAGTCAGTCGGTCAGTCACTCAGTCAGTCACTCACTCAGTCACTCAGTCAGTCAGTCACTCAGTCACTCACCCAGCCAGTCAGTCGGTGGGTGAGTCACTCGCAGGGTGAGCGGGGCCCTTCAGCGTGCCGGAGTGTCCAAGCTGACCACCAACTTCGTCAGTCAGTCACTCACTCAGTCAGTCACTCAGTCAGTCAGTCAGTCACCCAGTCAGTCAGTCAGTCAGTCAGTCGGTGGGTGAGTCACTCGCAGGGTGAGCGGGGCCCTTCAGCGTGCCGGAGTGTCCAAGCTGACCACCAACTTCGTCAGTAAGTCACTCAGTCAGTCACTCAGTCACTCAGTCAGTCACTCAGTCACTCAGTCAGTCACTCAGTCACTCAGTCAGTCACTCAGTCAGTCACCTAGTCACTCACCTAGTCACTCACCTAGTCAGTCACCTAGTCAGTCACCTAGTCAGTCACCTAGTCAGTCACCTAGTCACCTAGTCAGTCACCTAGTCAGTCACCTAGTCAGTCACCTAGTCACTCACCTAGTCAGTCACCTAGTCACTCACCTAGTCAGTCACTGACCTAGTCAGTCACCTAGTCACTCACCTAGTCAGTCACTGACCTAGTCAGTCACCTAGTCAGTCACCTAGTCACTCACCTAGTCAGTCACTGACCTAGTCAGTCACCTAGTCAGTCACCTAGTCACCTAGTCAGTCACCTAGTCAGTCACCTAGTCAGTCACCTAGTCACCTAGTCAGTCACCTAGTCAGTCACCTAGTCACTCACCTAGTCAGTCACTCACCTAGTCAGTCACCTAGTCAGTCACCTAGTCAGTCACTCACCTAGTCAGTCACCTAGTCAGTCACCTAGTCAGTCACCTAGTCAGTCACCTAGTCAGTCACTCACCTAGTCAGTCACCTAGCCACTCATGTAGTCAGTCACCTAGTCACCTAGTCAGTCACCTAGTCAGTCACTCACCTAGTAAATCACCTAGTCACCTAGTCAGTCACCTAGTCAGTCACCTAGTCACCTAGTCAGTCACCTAGTCAGTCACTCACCTAGTCAATCACCTAGTCACCTAGTCAGTCACCTAGTCAGTCACTCACCTAGTCAATCACCTCGTCACCTAGTCAATCACCTAGTCACCTAGTCACTCACCTAGTCAGTCACCTAGTCAGTCACCTAGTCACCTAGTCAGTCACCTAGTCAGTCACCTAGTCACTCACCTAGTCACTCACCTAGTCACTCACCTAGTCACTCACCTAGTCAGTCACCTAGTCAGTCACTCTGTGAGTGACTCACAGGTTGAGCGGTGCACTCCCTCACTTACTCCTCCTGTCTCTCTGTCTCACTGTGTCTCTCTGTGTCTCTCTGTGTCTCACTGTGTCTCTCTGTGTCTCTGTCTCACTGTGTCTCACCGTGTGTCTGTCTCACTGTGTCTCACTGTGTCTCTCTGTCTCACTGTGTCTCACTGTGTCTCTCTGTCTCACTGTGTCTCTCCGTGTGTCTCACTGTGTCTCACTGTGTCTCTGTGTGTCTCACTGTGTCTCACTGTGTCTCTCTGCCTCACTGTGTCTCTCTGTGTGTCTCACTGTGTCTCTCTGTCTCACTGTGTCTCACTGTGTCTCTCTGTCTCACTGTGTCTCTCTGTGTGTCTCACTGTGTCTCTCTGTCTCACTGTGTCTCTCTGTGTGTCTCACTGTGTCTCTCTGTCTCACTGTGTCTCTCTGTGTCTCTCTGTCTCACTGTGTCTCTCTGTGTGTCTCACTGTGTCTCTCTGTCTCACTGTGTCTCTCTGTGTGTCTCACTGTGTCTCTGTGTCTCACTGTCTCACTGTCTCATTGTGCCACTGTGTCTCTGTCTCACTGTCTCACTGTGTCTCTGTGTCTGTGTCTCTCTGTCTCACTGTGTCTCTCTGTGTGTCTCACTGTGTCTCTGTCTCACTGTCTCACCATGTCACTGTGTCTCTGTCTCACTGTCTCACTGTATCTCTGTGTCTGTGTCTCACTGTCTCTGTCTGTGTCTCACTGTGTCTCTCTGTGTCTGTGTCTCGCTGTGTCTCTGTCTCTCTGTGTCTGTGTCTCGCTGTGTCTCTGTCTCACTGTCTCGCTGTGTCTCTGTCTCACTGTCTCACTGTGTCTCACTGTCTCACTGTGTCTCTCTCTGTGTCTCTGTCTCACTGTCTCACTGTGTCTCTGTGTCTCTCTGTGTCTCTGTCTCTCTGTGTCTCTGTCTCACTGTGTCACTGTGTCTCCGTGTCTCTCTCTCTCTGTGTCTCTCTGTGTCTCCGTGTCTCTGTGTCTCTGTCTCACTGTCTCACTGTCTCTGTGTCTCTGTGTCTCTGTCTCACTGTGTCTCTGTGTCTCACTGTCTCTGTGTCTCTGTGTCTCACTGTGTCTGTGTCTCACTGTGTCACTGTGTCTCTGTGTCTCACTGTGTCACTGTGTCTCTGTCTCTGTGTGTCACTGTGTCTCTGTGTCTCACTGTGTCACTGTGTCTCTGTGTCTCACTGTGTCTCTGTGTCTCACTGTGTCTCTGTCTCTCTGTGTCTCACTGTCTCTGAGTCTCTGTGTCTCTGTCTCACTGTGTCTCTGTCTCACTGTGTCTCTGTCTCACTGTGTCTCTGTGTCTCACTGTCTCTGTGTCTCTGTCTCACTGTGTTTCTGTGTCTCTATGTCACTGTGTCTCTGTGTCTCTGTGTCTCACTGTGTCTCTGTGTCTCACTGTGTCTCTGTCTCTGTGTCTCACTGTGTCTGTGTCTCACTGTGTCACTGTGTCTCTGTGTCTCACTGTGTCTCTGTGTCTCCGTGTCTCTGTCTCACTGTGTCTCTGTCTCTGTGTCTCACTGTCTCTCTGTGTCTCTCCGTGTCTCTGTCTCACTGTGTCTCTGTGTCTCTCTCTCTGTGTGTCTCCGTGTCTCACTGTGTCTCTGTGTCTCTCTCTGTGTGTCTCTGTCTCACTGTGTCTCTGTCTCACTGTCTCACTGTGTCTCTGTCTCACTGTGTCACTGTGTCTCTGTCTCACTGTGTCTATGTGTCCGTCTCTCTGTGTCTCTCTGTGTCTCTCTGTGTCTCCGTGTCTCTCTGTGTCTCCGTGTCTCTCTGTGTCTCTATGTCTCTCCGTCTGTCTCTGTGTCTCTCTGTGTCTCTGTGTCTCTCTGTATCTCTCTGTGTCTCTATGTCTCTCTGTCTGTCTCTGTGTCTCTCTGTGTCTCTGTATCTCTCTGTGTCTCTGTATCTCTCTGTGTCTCTGTCTCACTGTCTCTGTCTCACTGTCTGTCTCACTGTGTCACTGTCTGTCTGTGTCTCTCTGTGTCTCTATGTGTCTCTCTGTGTCTCTGTGTGTCTCTGTGTGTCTCTCTGTATCTCTCTGTGTCTCTGTGTGTCTCTCTGTATCTCTCTGTGTCTCTCTGTGTGTCTCTCTGTCTCTTTCTACCTCTCTGTCCCTCTCTGTGTCTCTCTGTGTCTGTCTCTGTGTCTCTGTCTCTGTGTCTCTCTGTGTCTCTGTGTGTCTCTGTGTCTCTCTGTGTATCTCTGTGTCTCTCTGTGTCTCTTTGTGTCTCTATGTCTCTATGTGTCTGTCTCTGTGTCACTGTCTCTGTGTCTCTGTGTGTCTCTGTGTGTCTCTCTGTCTCTGTGTCTGTGTCTCTCTGTATCTCTGTGTCTCTCTGTGTGTCTCTGTGTCTCTGTCTCACTGTCTCTCTGTGTCTCTCTGTGTCTGTGTGTCTCTCTGTGTGTCTCTGTGTCTCTGTCTCCGTGTCTCCACGTGTAGATCTGCTGGCTGAGAATGGCCGACTGTCCAAGACCCGTGGGGTCTTGGACGCGTTTGGGCAGCTGATGAGCGCTCACCGTGGTGAAGTGTCCTGCACCATCACTACGGCACAGGTACACACACCACCTACCTAGTTACCTAGTTACCTAGCTAACTAGTTAACTACCTACCTAGCTACCTAGCTAGCTAGTTACCTAGCTAGCTAGGTAACTAGCTAGCTAGTTAGTTAGCTAGCTAGGTAGCGTGGTGAAGTGGCCTGCACCATCACTACGGCACAGGTACACACACCACCTACCTAGTTACCTACCTACCTAGCTACCTAGTTAACTACCTACCTAGTTACCTAGCTAGCTAGTTACCTACCTAGCTAGTTACCTACCTAGCTAGTTACCTAGCTAGGTAGGTAACTAGCTAGCTAGGTAGTTAGCGTGGTGAAGTGGCCTGCACCATCACTACGGCACAGGTACACACACCACCTACCTAGCTACCTAGTTAACTACCTACCTAGTTAACTACCTAGCTAGCTAGGTAGTTAGTTAGCTAGGTAGCTAGCGTGATGAAGTGGCCTGCACCATCACTACGGCACAGGTACACACACCACCTACCTAGCTACCTACCTAGCTACCTACCTACCTAGCTACCTACCTACCTAGCTACCTACCTACCTAGCTACCTAACTAGCTAGTTACCTACCTAGCTAACTACCTAGGTAGGTAGGTAGTTAGCGTGGTGAAGTGGCCTGCACCATCACTACGGCACAGGTACACACACCACCTACCTAGCTAACTAGCTAGCTACCTAGTTACCTAGCTAGCTAGCTACCTAGCTACCTAGGTAGCTAGGTAGCTAGCTAGTTAGTTAGCTAGTTAGGTAGCGTGGTGAAGTGGCCTGCACCATCACTACGGCACAGGTACACACACCACCTACCTAGCTACCTAGCTAGCTACCTAGCTACCTAGTTACCTAGCTAGCTAGTTAACTACCTACCTAGTTACCTAGCTAACTACCTAACTACCTACCTAGCTAGCTAGCTAGTTACCTAGCTAGCTAGGTAACTAGCTAGGTAGCGTGGTGAAGTGGCCTGCACCATCACTACGGCACAGGTACACACACCACCTACCTAGTTACCTAGCTAGCTACCTAGCTACCTAGTTACCTAGCTAGCTAGTTAACTACCTACCTAGTTACCTAGCTAGCTAGGTAGCGTGGTGAAGTGGCCTGCACCATCACTACGGCACAGGTACACACACCACCTACCTAGTTACCTAGCTACCTAGCTACCTAGTTACCTAGCTAGCTAGTTAACTACCTACCTAGTTACCTAGCTACCTAGCTAGTTACCTAGCTAGTTAGTTAGCTAGGTAGGTAGCGTGGTGAAGTGGCCTGCACCATCACTACGGCACAGGTACACACACCACCTACCTACCTACCTAGCTAGTTACCTACCTAGCTAGTTACCTGCCTAGCTAGTTACCTACCTAGCTAGCTACCTAGTTACCTACCTAGCTAGCTACCTAGCTAGCTAGGTAGGTAGCTAGGTAGCTAACTAGCTAGTTAGCTAGCTAACTAGCTAGCTAGGTAGCTAACTAGCTAGCTAGGTAGTTAGTTAGCTAGTTAGGTAGCGTGGTGAAGTGGCCTGCACCATCACTACGGCACAGGTACACACACCACCTACCTAGCTACCTACCTAGCTAGTTACCTACCTAGCTAGCTAGTTACCTAGCTAACTACCTACCTAGCTAGCTACCTAGCTACCTAGCTAGTTACCTAGCTAGTTAGTTAGCTAGGTAGGTAGCGTGGTGAAGTGGCCTGCACCATCACTACGGCACAGGTACACACACCACCTACCTAGCTACCTACCTAGCTAGTTACCTAGCTACCTACCTACCTAGTTACCTAGCTAGTTACCTAGCTACCTAACTACCTAGCTAGCTAGCTACCTAGCTAGCTAGCTAGGTAGCTAGCTAGCTACCTACCTAGCTAGCTACCTAGTTACCTACCTAGCTAGCTACCTAGCTAGCTACCTAGTTACCTAACTACCTACCTAGCTAGCTACCTAGCTACCTAGCTAGTTACCTAGCTAGTTAGTTAGCTAGGTAGTTAGCGTGGTGAAGTGGCCTGCACCATCACTACGGCACAGGTACACACACCACCTACCTAGTTACCTAGCTACCTACCTAGCTAGTTACCTAGTTACCTAGTTAACTACCTACCTAGGTACCTAGCTAGCTACCTAGCTACCTAGCTAGTTAGTTAGCTAGGTAGTTAGCTTGGTGAAGTGGCCTGCACCATCACTACGGCACAGGTACACACACCACCTACCTAGTTACCTACCTACCTAGTTACCTAGCTACCTACCTACCTAGCTACCTACCTAGCTACCTACCTAACTACCTACCTAGCTAGCTAGCTACCTACCTAGCTACCTACCTAACTACCTACCTAGCTAGATACCTACCTAGCTAGCTAGATACCTACCTACCTACCTCGCTACCTAGCTAGCTACCTACCTAGCTAGCTACCTAGCTAGCTACCTAGCTACCTAGCTAGCTAGCTACCTACCTAGCTAGCTACCTACCTAGCTACCTAGCTAGCTAGCTACCTACCTACCTAGCTACCTACCTAGCTAGCTACCTAGCTACCTAGCTAGCTAGCTACCTACCTAGCTACCTACCTACCTAGCTACCTAGCTAGCTAGCTACCTACCTAGCTACCTACCTAACTACCTACCTAGCTAGATACCTACCTAGCTAGCTAGATACCTACCTACCTACCTCGCTACCTAGCTAGCTACCTACCTAGCTAGCTACCTAGCTAGCTACCTAGCTAGCTAGCTACCTACCTAGCTAGCTACCTACCTAGCTACCTAGCTAGCTAGCTACCTACCTACCTAGCTACCTACCTAGCTAGCTACCTAGCTACCTAGCTAGCTAGCTACCTACCTAGCTACCTACCTACCTAGCTACCTACCTAGCTAGCTACCTACCTAGCTAGCTACCTACCTAGCTACCTACCTAGCTACCTACCTAGCTACCTACCTACCTACCTAGCTACCTAGCTAGCTATCTACCTAGCTAGCTAGCTACCTACCTAGCTAGCTACCTAGCTAGCTACCTAACTACCTAGCTACCTACCTAGCTAGCTACCTACCTAGCTAGCTACCTAGCTAGCTAGCTACCTACCTAGCTACCTACCTAGCTAGCTACCTACCTACCTAGCTACCTACCTAGCTAGCTAGCTACCTACCTACCTACCTAGCTACCTACCTACCTACCTAGCTACCTACCTAGCTACCTACCTAGCTACCTACCTAGCTAGCTAGCTAGCTACCTACCTACCTAGCTAGCTACCTAACTAGCTAGCTACCTACCTAGCTAGCTACCTACCTACCTAGCTACCTACCTAGCTACCTACCTACCTAGCTACCTACCTAACTACCTAGCTACCTACCTAGCTAGCTACCTACCTACCTACCTAGCTACCTACCTACCTACCTAGCTACCTACCTAGCTAGCTACCTACCTAGCTACCTACCTACCTAGCTACCTACCTACCTACCTAGCTACCTACCTACCTACCTAGCTACCTACCTACCTACCTAGCTACCTACCTAGCTAGCTACCTACCTAGCTACCTACCTACCTAGCTACCTACCTACCTACCTAGCTACCTACCTACCTACCTAGCTACCTACCTACCTAGCTACCTACCTAGCTACCTACCTACCTACCTAGCTACCTACCTAGCTACCTACCTACCTACCTAGCTACCTACCTACCTACCTAGCTACCTACCTAGCTACCTACCTACCTAGCTACCTAGCTAGCTAGGTAGCTAGCTATCTCTGTATTTCTCAGCTGATGATCCTCACCTGTGACCTCCCCGTGACCTCCCCGTGACCTTCCCGTGACCTCCCCGTGACCCCACAGGCCCTGGATGCGGCTACGCTAGCGGAGCTGAAGACCGTCCTGACTGGTTTCCTGAAACAGGGGGAGGTCCTGAAACTTCAGACAAAGGTACCACCACTGTTACCGCTACAACCACTACCACCATTACCACCACAAGGACTACACCTACAACCACCACCACCACTACAACCACCACTACAACCACCACCACCACTACAACCACCACTACAACCACCACTACAACCACCACCACCACTACAACCACCACAACAACCACCACCACTACAACCACCACTACTACAACCACTACTACAACAACCACCACCACCACTACAACCACCACAACAACCACCACCACTACCATCACTACAACCACCACTACAACCACCACCACCACTACAACCACCACTACCACCACCACCACCACTACAACCACCACTACAACCACCACCACCACTACAACCACCACTACCACCACCACCACCACTACAACCACCACTACAACCACCACTACAACCACCACTACAACCACCACCACCACTACAACCACCACTACAACCACCACTACAACCACCACCACCACTACCACCACCACTACAACCACCACTACTACCACCACCACTACCACCACCACCACTACTACCACCACCACTACCACCACCACCACTACCACCACCACTACAACCACCACCACTACAACCACCACCACTACAACCACCACCACTACAACCACCACTACCACTAGCACCACCACCACTACCACCACCACTACCACCACCACTACAACCACCACTACAACCACCACCACCACTACAACCACCACTACCACCACCACTACAACCACCACTACTACACCACCACCACTACAACCACCACCACCACCACCACCACTACAACCACCACCACTACAACCACCACTACCACCACTACTACAACCACCACCACCACTACCACCACCACCACTACAACCACCACTACAACCACCACTACAACCACCACCACCACCACTACCACCACCACTACAACCACCACCACTACAACCACCACTACCACTACAACCACCACCACTACCACCACCACTACAACCACCACTACAACCACCACTACTACCACCACTACCACCACCACTACCACCACCACCACTACAACCACCACTACCACCACTACAACCACCACTACCACCACTACTACCACCACTACCACCACCACTACCACCACCACTACCACCACTACAACCACCACTACAACCACCACTACCACCACTACTACAACCACCACCACTACCACCACCACTACCACCACCACTACAACCACCACTACCACCACTACTACCACCACTACCACCACCACTACCACCACCACCACTACAACCACCACTACAACCACCACTACCACCACCACTACAACCACCACTACAACCACCACCACTACCACCACTACAACCACCACTACCACCACTACAACAACCACCACCACCACTACCACCACCACTACAACCACCACCACTACAACCACCACCACTACCACCACCACTACTACACCACTACAACAACCACCACCACTACAACCACCACTACAACCACCACCACCACTACTACAACCACCACTACAACCACCACTACCACCACTACAACAACCACCACCACTACAACCACCACTACAACCACCACTACAACCACCACCACTACCACCACTACAACCACCACTACCACCACCACTACTACAACCACCACTACAACCACCACCACCACCACCACTACTACAACCACCACTACAACCACCACTACCACCACTACAACAACCACCACCACTACAACCACCACTACAACCACCACTACAACCACCACCACTACCACCACTACAACCACCACTACCACCACTACAACAACCACCACCACTACAACCACCACTACAACCACCACCACCACCACCACTACTACAACCACCACTACAACCACCACTACCACCACTACAACAACCACCACCACTACAACCACCACTACAACCACCACTACAACCACCACCACTACCACCACTACAACCACCACTACCACCACCACTACTACAACCACCACTACAACCACCACCACCACCACCACTACTACAACCACCACTACAACCACCACTACCACCACTACAACAACCACCACCACTACAACCACCACTACAACCACCACTACAACCACCACCACTACCACCACTACAACCACCACTACCACCACTACAACAACCACCACCACTACAACCACCACTACAACCACCACCACCACCACCACTACTACAACCACCACTACAACCACCACTACCACCACTACAACAACCACCACCACTACAACCACCACTACAACCACCACCACCACTACTACAACCACCACTACAACCACCACTACCACCACTACAACAACCACCACCACAACAACCACCACCACTAGCACCACCACCACTACCACCACCACCACTACAACCACCACTACCACCACCACCACCACTACAACCACCACTACAACCACCACTACAACCACCACCACCACTACAACCACCACTACCACCACTACAACCACCACCACCACTACCACCACTACTACCACCACCACTACCACCACCACCACCACTACAACCACTACTACAACCACCACTACAACCACCACCACTACTATAACCACCACCACTACCACCACCACTACCACCACCACTACAACCACCACCACTACCACCACCACTACAACCACCATCACTACAACCACCACCACCACTACTACAACCACCACTACAACCACCACTACCACCACTACTACAACCACCACCACTACAACCACCACCACTACAACCACCACTACAACCACCACTACTACCACCACTACAACCACCACCACTACCACCACCACTACAACCACCACCACTACCACCACTACTACCACCACCACTACAACCACCACTACAACCACCACTACAACCACCACCACTACAACCACCACTACAACCATCACCACTACCACCACCACCACCACTACTACAACCACCACTACAACCACCACTACCACCACTACAACAACCACCACCACTACAACCACCACTACAACCACCACTACAACCACCACCACTACCACCACTACAACCACCACTACCACCACTACAACAACCACCACCACAACAACCAACACCACCACTAGCACCACCACCACTACCACCACCACCACTACAACCACCACTACCACCACCACCACCACTACAACCACCACTACAACCACCACTACAACCACCACCACCACTACAACCACCACTACAACCACCACTACCACCACTACTACAACCACCACTACCACCACCACTACCACCACCACTACTACAACAACCACCACCACCACTACAACCACCACCACCACCACTACAACCACCACCACCACCACTACCACCACTACTACCACCACCACTACCACCACCACCACCACCACTACAACCACCACTACAACCACCACTACAACCACCACTACAACCACCACCACTACTATAACCACCACCACTACCACCACCACTACCACCACCACTACAACCACCACCACTACCACCACCACTACAACCACCATCACTACAACCACCACCACCACTACAACCACCATCACTACAACCACCACCACCACCAGTACCACCACCACCACTACCACCACTACTACAACCACCACCACTACAACCACCACCACTACAACCACCACTACAACCACCACTACTACCACCACCACTACTACAACCACCACCACTACCACCACCACTACAACCACCACCACTACCACCACTACTACCACCACCACTACAACCACCACTACAACCACCACCACTACAACCACCACTACAACCATCACCACTACCACCACCACTACAACCACCACCAGTACCACCACCACTACCACCACCACTACCACCACCACCACCACTACAACCACCACTACCAGCACCACCACTACCACCACCACTACCACCACCACTACAACCACCACTACCACTACAACCACCACTACAACCATCATCACCATCACTACCACAACCAGAACGACCATCATTATAATTATATCTCTCTCTCTCCCCGTGTCTCTCTCTCCCCGTGTCTCTCTCTCCCCGTGTCTCTCTCCCCGTGTCTCTCTCCCCGTGTGTCTCTCTCTCCCCGTGTGTCTCTCTCCCCGTGTCTCTCTCTCTCCCCGTGTCTCTCTCCCCGTGTCTCTCTCCCCGTGTGTCTCTCTCCCCGTGTCTCTCTCTCCCCGTGTCTCTCTCTCCCCGTGTCTCTCTCTCTCCCCGTGTCTCTCTCTCTCCCCGTGTCTCTCTGTGTCTCTCTGTGTCTCTGTCTCTCTCTGTGTCTCTGTTTCCCCGTGTCTCTGTCTCTCTCTGTCTCTCTGTGTCTCTCTCTGTGTCTCTGTGTCTCTCCCCGTGTCTCTCTGTGTCTCTGTGTCTCTGCAGACCGACCCATCTCTGATGGGTGGCATGCTCGTGAACATTGCCGACAAGTTTGTGGATTTGTCCGTCAAGGCGAAGGTTCAGAAGTTGGCCCGCCTGCTCAGAGAGACAGCCTAGACAGACACAGAGACACACACAGAGACACACACAGAGACACAGAGACACACACAGAGACACACACAGAGACACACACAGAGACACTCACAGAGACACACACAGAGACACTCACAGAGACACACAGGGAGACACACAGAGAGACACACAGAGACACTCACAGAGACACACACACAAAGACACACACAGAGACACACAGGGAGACACACAGAGAGACACTCACAGAGACACACAGAGAGACACACACAGAGACACACAGGGAGACACACAGGGAGACACACAGAGAGACACTCAGAGAGACACTCACAGAGACACACACAGAGACACACAGAGAGACACTCACAGAGACACTCACAGAGACACACAGGGAGACACACACAGAGACACACACAGAGACACACAGGGAGACACACAGACACACGGAGACACACAGACACACGGAGACACACGGAGACACACAGGGAGACACACACACACACACACTGAGACACACACACGGAGACAGAGACACGGAGACACACGGAGACACGGAGACACAGAGACTCACAGAGACACACACAGAGACACTCACAGAGACACACTCACAGAGACACACACACGGAGACACACACAGAGACACACACACGGAGACACAGGGAGACTCACAGCTGTGGCTGTGTCTGTGACTGTCACTCCCCTTGTCAATTAAAACGTCGATCCCTCACCTCAAAGTCGTCATCGTTACACCCCCCCCCCACCACTCCCCCCACCACTCCCCCCACCACTCCCCCCACCACTCCCCCCACCACCCCCCCACCACTCCCCCCACCACTCCCCCCACCACTCCCCCACTCCTCCACTCCCCCCGCACCCCCCACCCGGTGAGTGAGTAGGTGGGTGAGTAGGTGAGTGTGTGGTGAGTAGGTGAGTGAGTGAGTGAATGGGTGAGTAGGTGGGTGAGTAGGTGAGTGAGTAGGTGAGTGAGTGACTGTGGTGAGTAGGTGAGTGTGTGGTGAGTAAGTGAGTGAGTGGCTGAGTGTGGTGAGTGTGTGAGTGAGTAGGTGAGTGTGGTGAGTTGGTGAGTAAGTAGGTGAGTAGGTTAGGTGAGTGAGTAGGTGAGTATGTGGTGAGTAGGTGAGTGAGCAGGTGAGTGTGTGGTGAGTAGGTGAGTGAGTAGGTGAGTGTGTGGTGAGTAGGTGAGTGAGTGAGTAGGTGAGTGTGTGGTGAGTAGGTGAGTGAGTAGGTGAGTGTGTGGTGAGTGAGTAGGTGAGTGTGTGGTGAGTAGGTGAGTGTGTGGTGAGTAGGTGAGTGTGGTGAGTAGGTGAGTGAGTAGGTGTGTGGTGAGTAGGTGAGTGTGTGGTGAGTAGGTGAGTGAGTAGGTATGTGGTGAGTTGGTGAGCGTGGTGAGTTGGTGAGTGTGTGGTGAGTAGGTGAGTGAGTAGGTGAGTGTGTGGTGAGTGAGTAGGTGAGTGTGTGGTGAGTAGGTGAGTGTGGTGAGTAGGTGAGTGAGTAGGTGAGTATGTGGTGAGTTGGTGAGCGTGGTGAGTTGGTGAGTGTGTGGTGAGTAGGTGTGTGGTGAGTAGGTGAGTGAGTAGCTGAGTGTGTGGTGAGTAGGTGAGTGTGTGGTGAGTAGGTGATTTTGTGGTGAGTAGGTGAGTGTGGTGACTAGGTGAGTGAGTAGGTGAGCGTGTGGTGAGTAGGTGAGTGTGTGGTGACTAGGTGAGTGTGTGGTGAGTAGGTGAGTGTGTGAGTAGGTGAGTGTGTGGTGAGTATGTGAGTGTGTGAGTGAGTAGGTGAGCGTGTGGTGAGTAGGTGAGTGTGTGGTGAGTGTGTGGTGAGTAGGTGAGTGTGTGGTGAGTAGGTGAGTGTGTGAGTGAGTAGGTGAGCGTGTGGTGAGTAGGTGAGCGTGTGGTGAGTTGGTGAGTGAGTAGGTGAGTGTGGTGAGTTGGTGAGTGTGTGAGTGAGTAGGTGAGTGTTTGGAGAGTAGGTGAGTGTGTGGTGAGTAGGTGGGTAGGTGAATGAGTAGGTGAGTGAGTGAGTAGGTGAGTGAGTAGGTGATTTAGTAGGTGTGTTTGTGGTGAGTAGGTGAGTGAGTAGCTGAGTGTGTGGTGAGTAGGTGAGTGAGTATCTGAGTGTGTGGTGAGTAGGTGATTTTGTGGTGAGTAGGTGCGTGAGTGAGTAGGTGAGTAGGTGATCGAGTAGGTGAGTGTGTGGTGAGTAGGTGAGTGTGTGGTGAGTAGGTGAGTCAGTAGATGAGTGTGTGGTGAGTAGGTGGGTGAGTAGGTGAGTGAGTAGGTGAGTGTGTGGTGAGTAGTTGAGTGAGTAGGTGAGTGTGTGGTGAGTAGGTGGGTAGGTGAGTGTGTGGTGAGTAGGTGATTTTGTGGTGAGTAGGTGATTGAGTGTGTGGTGAGTAGGTGAGTAAGTAGGTGAGTGTGTGGTGAGTAGGTGAGTGTGTGGTGAGTAGGTTAGGTGAGTGTGTGGTGAGTAGGTGAGTCAGTAGATGAGTGTGTGGTGAGTAGGTGAGTGAGTAGGTGAGTGTGTGGTGAGTAGTTGAGTGTGTGGTGAGTAGGTGAGTGTGTGGTGAGTAGGTGAGTGTGTGGTGAGTAGGTGGGTAGGTGAATGAGTAGGTGAGTGTGTGGTGAGTAGGTGAGTGAGTAGGTGATTTTGTGGTGAGTAGGTGAGTGTGTGAGTGAGTAGGTGAGTAAGTAGGTGAGTGTGTGGTGAGTAGGTGAGTGTGGTGAGTGAGTGAGTAGGTGAGTGAGTGAGTAGGTGAGTGTGTGGTGATTAGGTGAGTTAGTACGTGAGTGTGTGGTGAGTAGGTGATTGAGTGTGTGGTGAGTAGGTTAGGTGAGTGTGTGGTGAGTAGGTGAGTGTGGGGAGTTGGTGAGTGTGTGGTGAGTAGGTTAGGTGAGTAGATGAGTGTGTGGTGAGTAGGTGAGTGTGTGGTGAGTAGGTTAGGTGAGTGTGTGGTGAGTAGGTGAGTCAGTAGATGAGTGTGTGGTGAGTAGGTGGGTGAGTAGGTGAGTGAGTAGGTGAGTGTGTGGTGAGTAGTTGAGTGAGTAGGTGAGTGTGTGGCTAGTAGGTGAGTGTGTGGTGAGTAGGTGAGTGTGTGGTGAGTAGGTGAGTGTGTGGTGAGTAGGTGGGTAGGTGAATGAGTAGGTGAGTGTGTGGTGAGTAGGTGATTTTGTGGTGAGTAGGTGATTGAGTGTGTGGTGAGTAGGTGAGTAAGTAGGTGAGTGTGTGGTGAGTAGGTTAGGTGAGTAGGTGAGTGTGTGGTGAGTAGGTGAGTGTGGTGAGTGAGTAGGTGAGTGAGTAGGTGAGTAAGTAAGTGAGTGTGTGGTGAGTAGGTGAGTGTGGTGAGTGAGTGAGTAGGTGAATGAGTGAGTAGGTGAGTGTGTGGTGATTAGGTGAGTTAGTACGTGAGTGTGTGGTGAGTAGGTGATTGAGTGTGTGGTGAGGTTAGGTGAGTAGGTGAGTGTGTGGTGAGTAGGTGAGTGTGGGGAGTTGGTGAGTGTGTGGTGAGTAGGTGAGTAGGTGAGTGAGCAGGTGAGTGTGTGGTGAGAAGGTGAGTGTGTGGTGAGTAGGTGAGTGTGTGGTGAGTGTGTGGTGAGTAGGTGAGTGTGGTGAGTAGGTGAGTGTGTGGTGAGTAGGTGAGTGAGTAGGTGAGTGTGTTGTGAGTAGGTGAGTGTATGGTGAGTAGGTGAGTATGTGGGGAGTAGGTGGGTGAGTAGGTGAGTGAGTAGGTGTGTGGTGAGTAGGTGCGTGAGTGAGTAGGTGAGTGTGTGGTGAGTAGGTTAGTAGGTGAGTGTGTGGTGAGTAGGTGAGTCAGTAGATGAGTGTGTGGGGAGTAGGTGAGTGAGTAGGTGGGTGAGTAGGTGAGTGTGTGGTGAGTAGTTGAGTGAGTAGGTGAGTGTGTGGTGAGTAGGTGAGTGAGTAGGTGAGTGTGTGGTGAGTAGGGGAGTGTGTGGTGAGTAGGTTGGTGAGTGAGTAGGTGAGTGTGTGGTGAGTAGGTGAGTGTGTGTGAGTAGGTGAGTAGGTGGGTGAGTAGGTGAGTGTGTGGTTAGAAGGTGAGTGAGTAGGTGAGTGTGTGGTGAGTAGGTGAGTGTGTGGTGAGTGTGTGGTGAGTAGGTGATGTGTGGTGAGTAGGTGAGTAGGTGAGTGAGTAGGTGAGTGTGTGGTGAGTAGGTGAGTGGGTAGGTGTGTGGTGAGTAGGTGAGTGTGTGGTGTGTGGTGAGTAGGTGATGGTGTGGTGAGTAAGTGAGTGTGTGGTGAGTGTGTAGTGAGTAGGTGAGTGTGTGGTGAGTGTGTGGTGAGTGAGTGTGTGGTGAGTGTGTGGTGAGTAGGTGAGTGAGTAGGTGAGTAGGTTAGTGTGTGGTGAGTGAGTAGGTGAGTGTGTGGTGAGTAGGTGAGTGTGTGGTGAGTAGGTGAGTGTGTGGTGAGTAGGTGAGTGTGTGGTGAGTGTGTGGTGAGTAGGTGAGTGTGTGGTGTGTGGTGAGTAGGTGAGTGTGTGTTGAGTGTGTGGTGAGTAGGTGAGTGTGTAGGTGAGTGTGTGGTGAGTAGGTGAGTGAGTAGGTGAGTGTGTGGTGAGTGTGTGGTGAGTGAGTGTGTGGTGAGTGTGTGGTGAGTGTGTGGTGAGTAGGTGAGTAGGTTAGTGTGTGGTGAGTAGGTGAGTGTGTGGTGAGTAGGTGAGTGTGTGGTGAGTAGGTGAGTGTGTGGTGAGTAGGTGAGTGTGTGGTGAGTGTGTGGTGAGTAGGTGAGTGAGTAGGTGAGTGTGTGTTGAGTGTGTGGTGAGTAGGTGAGTGTGTAGGTGAGTGTGTGGTGAGTATGTGAGTGAGTAGGTGAGTGTGTGGTGAGTGTGTGGTGAGTAGGTGAGTGTGTGGTGAGTGTGTGGTGAGTAGGTGAGTGAGTAGGTGAGTGTGTGGTGAGTGTGTGGTGAGTAGGTGAGTGTGTAGGTGAGTGTGTGGTATGTGAGTGAGTAGGTGAGTGTGTGGTGAGTGTGTGGTGAGTAGGTGAGTGAGTAGGTGAGTGTGGTGAGTGTGTGGTGAGTAGGTGAGTGTGTAGGTGAGTGTGTGGTGAGTAGTTGAGTGAGTAGGTGAGTGTGTGGT